GAAAGAGTAATAAAATTTAAAAGAAATAACATATTATTTTAAAAAAGCAAAAAGATAAAGAAAAGGAGTGGAAAAAGACAAAAGTAAAAAAATAATAAAAATAAAATAAAGTAAAATGAAAATAATAACAGCAATAATAATAACAAAAAAAGGAAATGTCACTTGTTGGTTTCAAACTAGCCGAACTGGTTTTTCTGACTGCAGTTGGCTGAGGGTCGATTGTTGTGATTTTTTCTGCCAGCTCCTCTCAGGATCCAGACACTTGGTGCCTCTCCCCAGCTCCCTACAATGGGGAACTAGGACTTCCTCCCAGCGCTCCCCTCCCAGGGGTTACCTCCATGGGCTGGTTTGCGGTGTTTGCGGGCGCCTGCACCGGCCTAGTTGCCTGTTTCCCTCGGAAATGAGCACAGACCTGCCCCCTGTTCTTTGGGGAGGCTCTAGTCCCTCTGTCCAATCTCGGGTTCGCTGCCAAGCTGGGTGTGGAGCAGACCAGGCTGTTGTGTCTATTGGATTCAGAGTCCCAGGCTGTACCTATCAGTTCTCCTGAGCTGGCAACCACAGAATCCTCGGTTGGGGCCCAGGAACTCTATCAAACAAGTCTCTCCTGGCACCCCACCTTGTTTGGCCAGAAAGGGAGGGGGTTGAGGGTCTCAGCTCTTTCCCCAGGACCCCTCAGTGCCCAGGGCCCAGGGCTTCCAGATAGTCCAAGGGGGATGGACTGGAAGCTGGGAGCTGATCTGAGGACTGGACGCCGACCTAGAAACTCTGTGCACACGTCATGGCACACTGCATGGTGTGTACTGATCCCCCAGCTGTGCAAGGGCTGAAATCCCTTCTGCTCCTGTGTTTGTCTGGGTCCACTGGCCAACCTCGGCAGAAAAATCCTAGGAATGGAGCAGCTCCACACCAGGCGCTGGACCCCCAAACTGTGCGCAGACTGAAATCCCTTCCACTGCTCTTTGCCTGGGCCACTTGGCTGGCCCCGGCTGAAAAATCTCAGGGAGGGAGCCGTGGGGGTGCTGAACATTGGCCCAGGCACCGTCCGGCATGGTCGGCACTTGCCGCCAAGCACTGGTCCCCCAACCATGCAGCAGCGGAGATCCCTGCTGTTTCTCTTTGCTTCATCCCAGAGACTACTGTACCACTGCTGTCTCCCTACCGTCTGGTTCCTCCGTGACCATCGAGGTTTCTGGTCCCTTATTTTCATATATGCTTGGCAACTGCTGGCTTGCTGGCTTCTCCTCTTCTAATCGGATAGGTTTCTCTTCCTTTTGCACTAGGAACTGGTATCTGCTCCGTCCTACTCTATCGCCATCTTGAAAGCCTCCTTCAAAACTTCTTAATCAGACATCTTTAAATGCTTCTGATGTTGTACTAGTTTGATACTCCATCCGATATTCCTTTTTTTTTCCATGCTAAATTGAATTTGTAACCACCCATCTCAGATCCTGTGGAAAACCCAGGCTCCCTTCACTCCACCTGAAGTTCTTCAACAGTCTCCAAAGCAGTACTTCTGCTTCTAGTCTTGCACTCTCTCATCTGCCTCCTCTCCACATTGCAGTAAAAGTAATTTTCCTTCCCATGTTGCATAACTTAATTCCTTCAGAATATGCAATCCCATCTCAGGAACAGACTGGAGATCTTATCCCCTGTTTTCCTTGGGTTTTGGCAGGAGCCTTTTAGATTGCCTTCCTAGAGGCAGACTGGTCCTCCAGAAGCCACCATCTACACCTGCATGCTTGCGAAGTCCAGCAGCTGCTGCACAAGTTCATGGTCGTCATGGGGGACTTGGTCCAGAGTGCCGTATACAAGGACTTGGTGGTCCTGCTGCAGAAGGACTGCCTGCTGTCTACCAGTCAGCTGAAGGCCAAAGGTGAACGGACTTTCGAAGGGGACATCCTGCTGGAGGGTGGACGGTGGTGCCGAATGCACAATGGCACCCACTACCACGAGGTCTGCTAGTTCCGCTGGAACCATCACCTGGTGCATTTCTACTTCCTCACCTGAGCGCACTCCTCCTACCTCGTGGACATCCTGGAAGCTATCATGTTTTAATAATATATTTTGTTTGTTTTAATGGTTGCACAAGGGATTAAAATATAATTATATGTTTTCATTTTCTACTTAAAATCAATATTTCACTACTTCAAGTGGTATATATATCCTTATACTCCTTCCTTTACATTGTAGTTGACTAATTTTATTACATCTACCTACATTAAAAATCTTATCACAAAAATATTATAATTTTTGTTTTTAATGGGTTGTATTCTGAATACTTTAAATATTTTATTATGCAACTCTGCATCTTTTTGACATGCTATGAAGAATGTTACTTTTTTTTTTTAGCAGGTAGTTGACCCAGTTGATTCAAGCCCCAAGTTCTCATGATCCTTGTGGTTTCAAACTCAGTCTTGTTTCATTATTTTCCATTTTACTTAGACTGGCTCCATATATGCACCCTGTATTGGCCAGTCTGGAACTTAAGTGGTCTGTCTTATCCTGAAAGCTTATGATATTCTATTTAATGTTAGATTCATGTATATGCAATAGAGGGATGAACTTGAGAGTTTGAAAACAACATTATTAGTTTGCTTTCCTGAGATCCCCTTTGTCTGCAATCTCCATGGTACTTTCTGGATTCATAAGCTTCCTATAATTCCCTTCTGGCCAGTGCATTGGTGTTTTATATACCCCACTGTGAAGTGCACTTTCCACAACTTCTTCCATTTCCACAGCCAAATGATAAGAGGACAGAGAGGGAAAAAAATAATAGACATTTGTAACATTCATTTGGAACCACGACTCCTTCTATCACAATGGACAATTGGTCTTCCTCACAGATGTAGGCCTTTGAGTTTTTACTGGTACAACTACCACCATCAAGAATTGCACAGGGGCTGGGAAGCAAAAGAGAGAGGAAAAAATGTGAGAGTGGTAGGAAACTTTTTCCCCCAGCATTCAATTCAGAATTAGAGACCTTCTGGGACTCTTTCTATTACCATTAATGTTCACTTCTGGGTTTCTGACTATGCTGAGTCCAAACCAGGGAGTACTGGAGAAATTAAAACTATGTAACTTCGAATTCTTGGCTTCTCCAATATTCCTGCTTCTGTTTATTTTTTATAATGCTCACATGACTTTCTATGCACTTTTCTAGGTTTTATAGCTAGAATAAGTAGAAAAGTCAAGGTAGTGTATGCTTATTCCAACTGCGGCCTGAAAATAATAAAGATAGTAAAAATAGGTACTAAAGCTCAGAACAGACCAAGAGAACTGTGAGATCTGCTTTCTGTAAAATACTACCCAGAGCCAGTAAGGAGTATTCTACTGTGTTAGAGGTAGGATGACTATCATCCAAACTAGAACACATTGTCAGAGTGAGTAATTCACTTGGTCTATGAAAATTATACTTGAAAAACAGTGTGAACCAGATAATAGCACCACCTTATTTGGAAGGGCTTGTGGAATTTAATACTCCCCTAACATTGTATTCACTGAATTTAATTGTTTAATTACAATCATTTTCCTATACATAGAAAATTTGTTTTGCTTCTCCACTTTGTATTGATTAATTTACATGTAAAAATGTAAATAAACCTTTGTCCTGAATTTGTCATCTTCAGTGTACCTATTAACTTGGAAAAAGTGTGTTCTATAATGTTAGACCAAGATAATTCTTTGTGTGTGTGTGTACATACAAACCAGAGACTCAGTTTGTGTTTCTGTTAAGCTCAGAACAGAACTCTAGACCAATATTTATTTTAGGATAAAATAAACCTAGATACACTGACCATTAGAGGTATGTGAGTCTTAGATCCCAGAGAGTTTGGGGTAGGAAAAATGGGCATTCTGGCCTTCCCCATAACACAAAGTCACAAAGACAGTTTGGGTTTTTCCCCATTGAGACCCTACAATGAGCCTTCCCACAAGAAGCTTCCTGCAGGAATAATATATACCCTCTAACTCATCTTTAACTTTATCACTGGTATTCCCAACAAGGATGCTACTTGGTGCCAAAGCCACAGTGGTTTTTATGATGTGGGCACCTCTGTGAAAAAAGAACTTCAGAGCATTTCACACAGGCTCCAATCAGTGACCAGATGACAATGAATTTTAGCCACTCCAAACCTGGGTCACATTTATACAAACCTGGGTAACACATTACATGTGAATAAGTCCAGAAGCTATTTTTCTTTATCACTCAAATGAATCATCCTATTCCATCATGAATGAGAAAATATAAAGTTTTTACATTCATATGTGACTAGAACACTATTTGAACCCTCAGAAAGAAAACAAATTTATGAGAATGAAATTCTTGTCTATCAGGAAAAACTACTTGGTCTTCCAGCAAATTATCCATTACTTAAGAGGACTTCAGCTGAGATCATAGGTCAGGAAGTACATATAAGAAGTGTCAACTTCAACTGGCAAAGGGCTCAGTCAGAAGCTCTGTTAAAGCTCCATTATTGCTATCTTTTAACCAGTGTGCAAACTTGTTTCTCAGACTCTTATCTTGGCAGGTAACTCTTGCCACAGCCTTTCCACTTAGTATGCAGCTGCTAGTCCATTCCTTGGTTCTCATTTTGGCCTAGAAGGTCCTTAGTTCAATTGGCCCAGAGCAAGGTTTTGTACTTCAGGTCCTGCACAAAGGCCCAGGGGGGCAAGGACAAACTTAAAATATACCTACTTTACTCCCCAAGACTTGTGTCTTGGCACAAGGCTGCATCGGCTGAAAAGAAAGGGCATCTTCCTCCAATTCATCTGCCCAGAGTTGTCACTTCCCACAAGAACACAGTAAAGTCTAAGTGTGGCCTTCTGTGCTCCTCATTCCCTGGCCTCTGCCTTTCCTACTTGTTTTCTGTGCTCCAGAGTTAATGGGTGAACATGCAGTAAGAATTGTCTTGTTTACATAAAAGTTTTGACAAAGTACAAATCAACTGTTTCTAATAAAATAATATTTATTTTATTTCAAATATATATAAATTTACATGCACAATACATAGCAGACATGATAGTCTATAGCCACAAAGTAAAAGTGAATACATCTGCTGATTCTGTTAACCACTAAGAAAGTCTTAGAAAGGTACATGCTGAATGTGTGAGAATGCCGGTCCAGTCGAGAAAATCCGAGGCCCTAACCACATCTTCAGTGTCATCCCAGTGCTTGTCGCACTCACTCAGGGCTGGCAAAACACCTTCTATTTTAGATCAGCCAAATCCATGCTCTATGTTCTGTCCATTAACATCTCTGCTCTCCAGGACTGCATGGAGGTGGTTTAGGGCCCAGCTCCCCATTCCCTGGGCTGGGAGCTCCTCCTAGTGGTTTCTGTTTTTTACTGAGTTTTACTAGTAAAAAAAGTTCTTGAGATATTTCTGAGATAGTTCCGTGTGAATCCTTTAGAGTTTTTCACAGGCATGTGGTAGCGCATTTGAGTCCAGAACCTAGAATTGGGAGGCACTGATTTTAAGCCTCTCCAAGTGACTGTGGGCAAAACCCGGAGAGCTTTTCTCACAAGATGAGGTAGAGACTCTGGCTCTTGGAAGGAACAGAACTTAATTAAAATGAGTTTCAGTGTTTGGTCATCCAAGGCAAGATTCACTGCTGCTTGTAGTTCAAAGACACTGGGTCCATTGACATAGTTGGGGCTTAAGATAAATATTCCTCTTCTACTTTTCTTAATAATGCTTACAATGTCTTCTGCATACACTGGAAATAAAGAATTAAATTAATTGCAACTGTTGTTGTTAAACCTTGAGTCACAATAATCCTTACTGTCCCAGATCTGCCCAGAGGATTCCTTGCCACAGACACTCATGGAAGGAAGAAAGAAACATGGTTGACTATAGCACATTCTCTATATCAACTTTGTCAATAGTTGAAGATATACTCTAATGTCTAGTAACTCTCAATTTTACAGTTCTCTGTTATTTCTTTGTCCTCAAATTATTAATTCCTCTAGGAGCAAAGCTTGTTGGAACAAGGCAGGCTGGGAAAACAGAGGGCAATAGAATGCTCACGCTCCTAGGTAGGGTATCTTAGGTAGCAGAGGCACGAGAGGTCATCAGGAGGGGATGGGGTCTGCACATATGATGCAAGGCCAGGCCTGGGCCCAGGCTCAAGGAGGCTGCTTGATCCAGTGTTGAGGTTTTTTGCAGACAGAATCTCAAAATGCAGAAGGACCACCTGTTTGGAAGGACAGATGACTTCCTGCTGAAGAACCAAGAAAGACACTTTTGTTCTGGAAGCCCTCCCTGTGGCCTGATATTATCTTTTCTTCTGAAGATTGATTTTTTTAGGTGATGGTACAGGTCTCTGAAACTTATATTTTTCTGTATTGTTGCCCCAAAAGTTCTAAGCTCATGAAACCTTCCAGAAAATGTATATCCCAACAGAAAGAGTGACAGAAAAACTTAAAACAGTATTTGAATTTAACTGGCCTTTTTGTTTTATATTTTCTACTGGCATGCAGATCCTACCTCCTCCTGGGGTCACATCTCTTTCAAACAAACACAAGGTGTATCCATATTTGTTTTCCAAAACTTCAGGGAATAGATTCAGGGCCAAGTTTTCCTCATTCACAGATGAAGTGGTTTCACTCTCAAAAGGGCTCCATTTTGCATAAGAAATGAAAGCATCAAATTCCTTTTTATCTGGAGAGGAACAATAAAAATCTAAGCCATTTACAGATTTTTCGCTATATGGTATATCTATGCATGCTTGCAACATATGATAAATGGGTGAGAATTAAGAGTTGGGATCATTACCAAGTTGATTTAAAACATAAAATTACTTTAAAAATTGAAAACAGCAGCTGAGTCCATTTCAAAATCACACTGCTGAGTGGAATTTATTGTCTGCCCAAAAATTAGAATCTAATTCTGAAGAACTCTTGCAGTTCCACTTATGTTAGATCCAACAGCTGGGGCCTTCTCTGATAAATCACAAGCACTCAGAGGTTCCTCTGAGCTTTCCTTGCATCTGCAGTGTTGCTGTCTCATTCATGGCACATCAAAGAAAAGTTTACTCCGTCAAAGCATGATATCTAATGAGCAAAGCACTGCTGACACCCAGCACCCTGAACATTAGAGAGCTGATGGCACATATACCTCTGCTTGCATGCCATGTGTGAAATGAAGCAATGATAACTACCCAGCAGGCTCCCTTCAGGGATGCTTGAGATAATGTATATGACAAGCTTGGGGTCTGACTCATAGCAGGCACAAGATGAATATCCTTTACCCTCCCTTCTAAATGATACTCTATATTTATGGAACTTATTTCAGAATATTTTTGGTCTCATATGTTTCTATTGACTAAATGATTAGAAATGAACATTGTTTATGGGAACGTGCCAAAGAACTCATGGAAAGTAGTAGAAAACTTCCCAAGTTAATCCATGGGCTTCAGAATTGGACACTCCTGGCTCATATTCCAGCACTTTGCACACTGACTGCAAAATAATATTGTTACAAAATAGTAGTAGCACTGGCTGCTGATGCAGCTTAGTATTACATTTGTTCAATGTGGACCTAAGAAGAGCCCTAGTGGTAAAGGCCAGAAATAGAAAAGGAAGAGAGAGTGGAGGAGGTCTGGAATCAAGAAAGGAAGGTGCCAGGGAGCAGAGGTCCAGGGGTGTACTCTAGGAAGCTACTGGTGACCCAGATAGAAAGAAGGACATTCATGGGTAAATATGCAACACACTATAGTTGACTCAATTCCTTTCATATCCATGGGAAGACCAGCAAACTAGGATGTTTCTATAATAATAAAAGATTGTGTTCACTTGGTAATAAAACTAGAGTGGAAGTACTAGACAACCTACTAGGTCCTCCAAAATTGTGACATTCTATGTCTCTCTAAACTTTTATATATTCATCATCAGCCTCAAGGAAAACAGTTGTTTTGCTGAGTAACAGTAGATTGGTCAGAGAAGGCACTGAATCATTGTGCTTGAAACCCAGTTCTGCTCCCTTCAGAATTCTAGTGTCTGTGCAAAGTAAAAAGAGAAGGGGCATATTTAAATGTTTCGCAGTTGATTGACTCCTCTATGCTAGCTCTACAATCTTAAGATAAACAGCATTTTAGTAAAAGAAGTATGAAATTATTGAAGGAAATGGTTAAGACATTAGTTAGATAACTGGCTTAATTCAAAAAAGCTAACTTAAAAAATAAATGAATCTCAAGAATACTCTTGGCTTAAGCATTTCTAGTATGAATTTTCAATAATTGGTCTAAAGCAGGGGTGTCCAACCCACGGCTCACAGGCTGCATGCAGCCCTGGGTGGTTATGAATGCTGTCCAACACAAAATTGTAAATTTACTTAAAACATGAGATTTTTTGTTTTCATTACTGTTTGGCCCAAGATAACTCTTCTACCAGTGTGGCCCAGAGACGACAAAAGGTTTAGACCCCTTATCTAAAAGAAGGTGTGACTGGTATATTTCTTGACTCCCATTTCCTCAGAGATAGGACAAGCTCTCAGGGATAGGACTCAGCTCTCACTGAGTTCCTTGTGTGGGAGAAGCATTGTATGCAGAGGCCTGTCAGATAAGGAATTAGCTCTGGAGTCCAGCAGAGGAGCTTCTTCTCCCTCCAAGCATCAGAGTTATTTGCTAAAACTGCAAACATCCTAACTTCAGGGATTCTAGGACTAGAAAAACACAGAAGTAGCTATTCTGTTCTGAAGAAGCAAATGTGTATAAAACATCATTATCCTGTCTCATGGAAAAGCTGACAGACACATCACTAATAATATGGTACTTGCATCTTATAGAACTTCACAATTTTGGGGATATTTCCACCAATTTCAAGCCCTTCATTTTACAGATAAGGCTGACCAAGTTAATAATTAATGGGTGCCATAAGTCAAACTGCTTGGGTCCAAGTCCCAAGCTCTACCATAGCCTAGCAGTTCAACTTGGAGCATATGACTTCAGGTCTTTCTTTCTGGCTTATAGGATTGCTGTGACAAGTAGCCAATACACTTGATTGGCAAGCACTTGGTACTCATGAGATAATAATAGTACTGAGTGTTCACTACATGCTAGATGCTATACTAAAAACTTAGGATGTCTTAACCCCATGAGCACTCACAGCACTCATTGAGATTGAAATTGTGGTTACAATTCCATTTTATCAAAGGGGAAACCAAGGCACAGAGGTGTTAAGTCATTTACCATATTGCTTTAAGTTGATTAACAGTTGATAATTTTCAAGTTCAGCATGTCTGATAATAGGATCAGTTGCGAGAATAAAAAGAGACTTACTTTGTCCACCTGCTCCCAGCCCCCCCAGGTGTACAGCATCAGATCTGGAAGAAATCTCAAAGCCTGAGGAACATGACCTTATCCATCAGGGATTATCCATTTTTGGAACTCCTCTGTCTAAGTCAGTACTGAGAGGAAAAGTCACAGCCAAGTTGGAGTCACCTTACCCCTCAGTGTCTCATCCTTGTTCTGGTAGGTTCGGTACAGCAGCACTATTTCAATCCAGTACATGAAGAGGAGGGCAGTTGCTGTCAACATGCCTACTAGGGTCATGATGATACCAAGTAGGATGTACAGGAACACCACTGGGGAAAACATGGCAACAATGAACAAATGCAGAAACACATTCCTGTGGCAAGACCTTATTCGGGCCAACGCTGTGGGCCCACACAAAGCCTTTTTTGGTTCCATTATTTTGATCAATATCACTGCTGTTGGAAGCATTTCTCTTGAATACAAAATGCTTTAAATCACATCCTAAGGGACCTATCTTACAATGAACTGGAGAGAGCTTGGGGAAATGGGAAGTTCTTGATCAGCCATGGTCTAGGAAACTGATCCCAACCATTTTTATTCATTTTCCCCATAAACTTCTACACAAAACATTTGCAACCTTCTCATCATATATTATAAATTATTTTCATCCATTATTGTCCCTACTAAAGTCCAAACTTCCAGAGGCCAGGAACCTCTGGCAGCCTATGTCTGGCATACTTTTGCACCCTTCACGTCACCTGACTCATGAAACACACCTTCAACAGAGAATCCACTGTTAAGCAGTAATAAATTTTGTCTTATTTGCTTCATGGGCTTCACAATCATCTATTCTAAAAAACTTTATCCGTTGAATGAATGAATGATATCAACTTCATCTCTGAGAATCTTCTTTAAAAAATTAGAAACTAGTTCTTACCAGGAATATCCATGCCAGCTTTAATATAATCTTTGATATACATATATACTTCTGGACACTGAGAAAAATTACATTGTCACACCTCCACTCTCCAATACCTAACCATCATGCTTTCTGTATTTGGAAGCCAGGAAAGAAAAATAGGAAAGGGACCTATGACCTAGCACAATATCTAGCACATAGAGCATGCATGGGTATTTGTAGAATGAATGAGTGAATGAATTCATGAATGATAGACTATTCTGACATAACCCCAATACACAAAATGTTGGTTAAGAGGACCATCTCTGGATGGTTCTTGATATGAAACTTGTTGTGTGTGGCCTTGATTAAGGTATTAAATGAGTTAATACAGCAAAGTGAATAGAATATTTTTTATTTAAAATATATTTTATTGATTATGCCATTACAGTTGTTCTATTTCCCCCTTCATTCCCCTCCACCATGCACCCTCACCCCCACTATTACCCCCCTTTAGTTTATGACCACATGTCTCAAGTTCTTTAGATTCTATATTTCCCATACTATTCTTGCCCTCCCCCCATCTATTTTATACCTACCATCTATGCTACTTATTTTCTGTACCTTCTCCCCCCTTCTCCTCCTCTCACTCCCCTGTTGCTAACCCTCCATGTGATCTTCATTTCTATGGTTCTGCTTCTGATCTACCTGTCCTCTTAGTTTGCTTTTGTTTTAGGTGTGGTTGTTAATAACTGTGAGTTTGCTGTTCTTCCACTGTTCATCTTTTTTATCTTCTTTTTCTTAGATAAGTCCTTTAACATTTCATATAATAAGGGCTTAGTGATGATGAACTCCTTGAATTTGATCTTATCTGAGAAGCACTTTATCTGCCCTTCTATTATAAATGAAAGCTTTGCTGGATAGAACAATCTTGGTTGTAGGTCTTTGGATTTCCTGACTTGGAATACTTCTTTCCAGCCCTTTCTTGCCTGTAAGGTCTCTTTTGAGAAATCTGCTGGCAGTCTGCTGGGCACTCCTTTGTAGGTGACTATCCCCTTATCTGTTGCTGCTTCTCTCCTTCATTTTAATCTTGGCTAATGTAATTATGATGTGCCTTGGTGTGTTCCTTCTTGGGTCCAACTTCTTTGGGACTCTCTGAGCTTCCTGGATTTCCTGGAAGTCTATTTCCTTTGCCAGATTGGGGAAGTTCTCTTTTATTATTTGTTCAAATAAGTTTTCCACTCGTGGCTGTTCCTCTTCCCCTTCTGGTACCCCTATAATTTGAATGTTGGAACATTTAAAGATGTCCTGGAGGTTTCTAAGCCTCTCCTCATTTTTTTGAATTCTTGTTTCTTCATATTTTTCTGTTTGGTCATTTTTATCTTCTTTCCGATCCACTCCCTTGATTTGAGTCCCAGTTTCCTTTCCATCACTATTGGTTTCCTGTGCATTTCCCTTCATTTCAATTAGTTTAGCCTTCATTTTTTCCTCTAATTTGTGACTAAAATCAACCAATTCTGTGAGCATCCTGATCACCAGTGTTTTGAACTGTGCATCTGAAAGGTTAGCTATCTCCTGGTTGCTTAGATGTATTGGCTCTGGAGCTTTGAACTGTTCTTGAGCCATAATGTTTTGGTCTGTTCACACTTGTTATGCATGAGGGGCAGAGCCTTAGGTGTTCACCAAGGTGGGCAACTCAGTCACTGGGTTGTGAAGATGTATGTGGGGGCGGGGTCAGAGGCGAGCAAAAGCGGTCCCCTCTGCTGCTTCCTGCTGCTGGGGTCTGTGCGGGCCATCTCACTGCTTGCTCCTTTGCTTTGTGAGTGAATGTGTGACCGTGGTCAGCCTGCCACCTTGGGCCCTCAGTGGATCCGCTCGCTGCTACCCTACACCTGAGATCCCCCTACAGCTGCCTGCGAGCCTGGGTCATGCGCCTGGGTTGGTCCAGTGGATCTTTCCTGCCCGACTCCACTCCACTGATGGCTTTGCCCCTCTTACCAGTCTGGCTGAAACGTTCATTGTTGTCAGACTTCTGTATAGTTCAGTTTTCTGTGGTTTGGCTGCATTTTTGTTGCTAAAACTTTGTTGTTTTTAAATTTGGTTGTGCAAGAAGGCACAATGTTTCCACCTATGCCTCCGTCTTGGCGGAAGTCCAGATTTCCTTTTTTGAATAGAATATTTTTTACATAATAAATATTAATTGCTATAATCACTGATACCTACAGACAGCCAGTCCAGACCTCTAGGAGTGGGCTGAGAGTGGAGAACAGGAAGGACCATAGTGGGAGATAGAGCTAGGCTATGGGAATAGGACCTGGGAGCCACTTCTGCACCAAGCTATGTTCCTTGGAGACTGGGGATGAAGGTCTGTAATGACCTAGACAAACTACCTCGGGTCATGACGAAGACATTGAGTTTCATAGCACAGTGCCAGATCCCACAGGCATGAGGTTACATTTCCTAGGTAACCAAGCATGTGCCTTGTAGACATTCAGCTCCCTGTGCCCCCCCATGCAGAAATTCTGCTCCTGGCTGCAGATACCCTGCCCCTCCCACTGAAGCCACTCTCGGCACTACCTGAGAGGCTGTGTGGGGTCTCCAGGGTCATTTTATTTGGGCTTTTGGTTCAGTCGCTCTCTGTCAGTGAGCTCCAGGGTGGGCAACTCACATCATACAGAGAGTAGGGAATGGGAGGTAAGGAGTTGACAGAATGCCACAGGAGTGTCCTTTACAGCTATGATGGTGGCAGGGAAAGGTTCTTACACTGAGCATGCACAAGGCTAGCAAGATCATTGAACAGAAGAAAGAAATCTCCTACCCCTTTCAGTACCACATTGGAGGTATGACTAGGGGAAGGCAGATGCATGTGCAATAGAAGTTAAAATGGTGGCAGGGATAGGTGCTGGACTAAAGAGGCCTGTCATTGTAGCTCAGGGAAAGAAGAGATTGGATGGGAAGTGGATCTACCCAAAACGTACAAAATTTTGAGAAGTTAATTGGCCATTCTGAGAAAGCACCTGATCCATCCCACACCCAAAGCTAATATAAACCCAGGGGAACAGATAAACTCTCTCTTGCTCATCACTTGCTATTCAAGACTTGCACTTGGATGGTATACTGGCCTGTCTTCTCCATGGGCCATGTGGTTTTAGCAGTCATGTGGCCCATGGCCTCTAAGAGGGAGTCTCTCTGTCTCTGTCTCTATCTCTCTCTCTTCCTCACCTGGTGGAGCATCCTCTAGTGAATTTAGGCACTCTCTGACCTGGGAGGATTGGAATTTTCAGCCCTAGCAGCTGCATGGCCATGGCCACACTGGCTTCACACACAGCCTCCAGTAGAGATCCTGTAGCTGGACAGCAGTTGGGAACAAGCTAAGCTACCTGGATAACCACTTAGCACTTGGCTCAGGCTCCATAGGATGGTACTTTAAAATGGAGCAGAAACTCTGTTGGCTGCCTTTTATTTTTGAGAAGAAGTCCCTTAATGAGAAGAAGCCAACCTGGCTACCAACCAGGTTGGTTTTGCTGAGGACCATTGGGTTTTGTCTATGTTTTATAGAAGAGATGATCTTTGTAATGGGGAGTCCTCATATCATCCAGCATTTAATAAAAGCCTTTTTCCTTCCTCACCAGTCTTTGCCTCTAGAGTTTGCCTTTGGAGTATTAGTAGCCAAACCCCTAATTTTATTTGATAACATCATCACTTTTATTTAAGAAAATTCTTCTCCTTTGAGATAAAAAAAAAATGTGTTCATTCTGCAGTAATGTCCCAGGCTTACCTCTTTTCTTTTCCTTCAGTTGGATAGATTGAGTAGTGTTCCCAATGGAATTCTGGGCAAAGCAAATGAATGTTTTGTAAAGATCACTCTGAGTAATTTCTTTTAAGTGGACAACACATTTGATGATTTCATCTTCAAAAGTGGCTTTAACACTAGGAAAGAAAAAATATCACATCAGTTCAGTAGATAAAGTGACACTCATTTGCAGTATTCAGAACTTATGTAAATAGTATACAGTCCGGCTTTTTGAAGAGCCATGGGGTCACACAGTAGGAGACACCAAAAGAACATAATACAGTTGAGAGAGCTCACTTAAAAATTATTGAATCTGCTAAACATTGTTCTAAGCACTAACACTAAGATGTAATTTATTTGTGGGCCTCAACTGATATTTTTTGTTTGTTTTGGGGTTTTTTTGTTTTTTAATTTTTATTTACTTATTTTTCAAGTACAGTTTTCTGTCTATTTCTCCCATCCCAGCCCACCCCGCCCCGTGCTCCCCACCTCCCTCCCATTTCCACCCCCCTTAGTTCTTGTCCTTGTGTCCCTCATACTTGTTCCTCCAAATCAACTGATATTTCTTACTCTAAGAATTTTACCTGAAAAGAGATTCTAGCAATAACTTAGTAATATTAAAAGTGACTAACTTCTACAAAGGTCTTACTATGTATCAGGCTGTCTTCTGTCCACAAAATGAGGGGTATCGGGTCTTTTCCATTCCACATCTCACAGAAATTCCACAAGGTAATGGTATGACTATCCTAACTTGACTAGCAATGAAGAGCAGGCACAGAAGGTGAGTCTTAGTTCATGTAGCAACCTTATTCTTCAGCCTGTGCCATTCTACCCCATCCATGAAGTGGGAGTCTGGGCATTTATTCATAGTTTGGATTCTCTAAAGTTGCCAATCTCTTAGTCTGTACTCATGTTAAGGAATATTGTTTATGTGAATAATGCATTCACATTAGTTTGTATTGTTTGGAGCCTACAATACCAACTTTTTTTTACGGAACACTTCTTACCCACTAGAAGCTGTGATAAGCATATCACCTCAACTGTATACACTCCTTAGAGGGACAATACAAGGTGGATTGTAGGTGGCATGATGGAAACTCATAGGGTCACATTTCCAATAGGTGGCAAACAGAGTTTCATACCAAAAGCCATGTGAAGTCAGAACATACTCTCTTTTTGTGATACATGATTACTTTGAACTATGTTGCAATATCAGATAATAGAGAATTCAATGGTCCTGGTTTTAGAAGTTCTTGGTAAATTTTATCACTGTTCCCAAAATCTGTCCTTTACTTTTTTGTAGTGTTGTATTTTATCAAAATACATTATATTGGTTTATTAAAATGTTTTAAAAATCAGAAGTATGCTTAATTCATAGACTATTATGTGGAAAAACCTTACAAAAATGAGAAACTGTATTTTTTTAGCAACATGCCTAACAGATTGAATCCAAGCCCTTAATCCTCCAAAAACCAGAGTCCAGTTTTGTGAGGAGTTGGATAGATCCAAATGTCTAGAATTTTCCATTTTATTGAGCCATATTGTCATCCCATTAAATTCTGGCCACTAATCTGGGTTCTGTGCTCTTGAGAACTATACAGTCTAGTTTCTCATAAAACAGAGCAGCTTCCAAACACTTCAAGACGTATACCACTACTGAGTCTCCTTTCCCAAGTCGTGTTGGTTAAACTATTCCTAATGTCACATAATTTTTGGCCAGACTCCTTATTCTTGTACCATTTCCTCATTTCATACTTCCTGGACTGTTAATGACTCTGAATATTTGGATACTCTGAATGGACGGCACTGGGGAAAATGGGGAGGTGGAACGGGGATGATGGTCAGCATTCTTCTGTTTTTGCTGGACATGCTGCTTCTATTCAAGCAGCCTGTGTCAGTGTGCCTGTCTCCTTGTTAGCCTGATGTTTACAGCAGCTGCATCAAATTGTTGCTACAAATTGAGCTTTATAGCAACTTAAATATTTCACTTTATGTCCCTGTTGTAAACTGAATTTGTCCTCCAAGTTTAAAATTAACATGCACTTTCATACTTTCATTTTCACCTCTAGTTGTTGCTCATAGCTACACCATCAACTGTGGGTGAATGTGTGTGTATGCTCACCTCTGTGTGTACATTTTGCAGATTTCCAAAGGTGAAAGCATTTACTGTGGGTTGTAAAAAATATTGTCCTCTAATTTCCTTCTTAACTTCTCACTTACCTTCTCACCTCAGTTGTTGGGATTTCCAGCTCCTGGTCAGCATCTTTGCTGTACCATCTTATCACAGGTTTAAAGTCCTTTTCAAAGCCAAATCTTGCTGTGCAGTAAAGAGTCAAAGACTTTCCTAAAAATGAAGGGACCACAGGAAAGAAGAAGGAAGCCCATGAAGACTGTTTCCTGTTGCAACAGGTTTATAGGTAAAACAGTTGTGCCAAAAATAATAACCAAATGTCTACCTGTCTCTCATTCAGAAACATATGAAACCATGTACCTTAGTCTCTAGCAGGCAATACTTACATCTCAAACATGTGACCATATGTTCTTAAAATGAAGATTGGTATGGTCATAGCACTAAGGGTTTCAATATGGTTTGAGAATACACACCAAGAAAATATGAAGTTTCAGTAACCAGCTCGGTCTTCCAACACTGTTTTTGCTTTACCAACTATGTCAATAAAGAACATTTTTCTAACCAATATTTGCATATTAAATAAAAAATCATGAGCTTACTGTAATATGTAGTTTAAAGAATGATATGTAAAATATCATTTAGATATTCAGCTGCTTTTTGGACAATCGACTATGGATGTGAATGTATTTTATCACACTACCTTCTTTCTCCCCATTTTCTTATGAGGGATATCCAGATATGCTCTGCCTCAAACTCAATATTTTAACCATGAAACAGTTAGGGATTCTATTTGAAAATTCATTTTTGCAACTTGATAATGTTTGTACCCAAGTAATACTTTAAAATTCACTGAGATCATATGAATTTTTTTCTAATTAAAGGTTTTTCCCCCTTTTTCCTACTTCCATTCCTGTGTTGTTGCCCATTTTGCTAATTTTATACTCAGAGTATACTGATACTGCCACCTAGTGGTCCTTTACCATAATATCTATTTTCTCATTTCTGTCATAAATATTTTCACATTTAAAAGAACACTTATTTTATTGAAGTGACTAGCACTTGACTATTAATAATGTATCTCTTATTCAGCTGTTTGGTACTATGAAAATGTTATTGAAGTTGACAAAATGAAAGGGGACTATAGGAAAGTCACTTTGCCCTCATACCAGAAGAAGGCACTGTTCAATTAATTTGAAAAGCAAATTAATTAATTTAATTAATTTGAAAAGCAAATTAATTGAGCAGGGATTATAGCATTCTTCTATAGTTACCTTGAAGACCAAACCAAACTTCATATTTTTAAAGCTTAATTATACTCAAGTTGGTAAATTGGTTAAATTTATAGACCTAATCAAGCCTGTAGACTTAATATATGTAATCACCTATTTCTGGGATAAGAAGGTTAGAACAAATCTAAAATCTATTGACTATGTCAAATGCACCAGCCACCTAACACATGTTATCTTATATCTCTCATTGTAACCTTGTGAGGTCAGTTTTATTTTGCCTATTTACAGATTTAAAAACTGAGGCTTAGAAAGATTACTGTAAGTGATTTATAAGGTCACAACACTAATCAGTGGCTGGGTCAAGATTTATGCCCAATTCTATGTGACTTGAATTTAACTCTCTTTTTCTTATATTACACTTAGACTTGCTTCCAAGTTTGATCCTTCAGCCCATCTTACCAAGTTCTACTTCCAGGATGTCCTTGACAGGTTCTAGAATATCTGGTTTGAGAGTTGTGTCCTTCACTAAAAAATGAAAAAGAAAATCATTACTTGCACTGAGAGATCTGAAAGCCTGCTTGCTGAAGATGTGCATTCATGGGCACACTTAGATCTGTTTTGGGGCTGCCTCTTCAAATTTTGTCCATATTTCATATGGCTAGAAACTCAGGTTTTATGCAAAAAGCAAGCTTCCAGAATGACTGTGCAGGTGCTGGCAAACATAGTTTTTGATAAATCCATATCAGTCTGAGTACATTTTCTTCCACACCACTCCTGCTTGCCCATTGCAGATTTAAGCCTCCATCTTCTCCTACAAAATTGCTTGTAGGGGCCATCCAGCTAAGTAACCCAACACAAAGGAGAACCCACCAGAGAAAATGCATATGTCAGTCAGATTGGAGCCCACCACCGCCATTCTTAAATTCATGGTTTGTCTCAAAATAAAGGTGAGACCAACCCTTTATTAATCATTTATTTCTCAACTTCTTGCCACAAACTTTCAAGTGTGCCTCCACTGTCAAACTTCCTCTAGAATAAGTTCTATCTCCTGATACAGGAAAATTAATCACCTTTACTCTGGGTGTCTTCTCTTAATTCTTGGGGACCTCCTTTTCTCAATTACAGTATCTCTGTCCTGTGTCTTTAATGTTCTCTCTCCTTCCCACTCAGCATTTACCCATGCTCAGTCTCTATGTCTTAAAAAAAGAATAAAACCCTCCACCTCACATCCCTATCTCACTCATTCTCCTAGGTTTCAGCCAAATTCTTTTTTAAAAATATTTTATTTATTTATTTTTAGAGAGAGAGGAAGGGAGGGAAAAAGAGAGGGAGAGAAACATCACCATGTGGTTGGTTGCCTTTCACACTGCCCCTACTGGGGACATGGCCTGCAACCCAGGCATGTGCCCTGACTGGAAATCGAACCAGTGACCCTTTTCTTCACAGGCCAGCAATCAATCCACTGAGCCACACCAGGAGGGGCAGTTTCAGCCAAATTCTTGAATGAGTGTTATGTGCTTGTTTCTTCAATTTCCTCACCTCCCATGGAATCTGATTTCTGCCTCCATCCCTCCACTGAAATTGCTTTGGCTAAAGTTACTAGAAAACTTGCACCTAAATCCATTGGGCACAACTGAATTTTTTCATCTGCTTTATTTCAAACAGCATTGGCCACACCCTCTTTGGAACCCTGTCCTCTTTCAGTTCCTTGTTTTTAGATTCTCCTGCTCACCTCTCAGCTCTATGCTCACTTGTCTCTGTGCAGTGGGCTCCTCTCCTCTGTACCTCTTGTGGATATGAGTTCTCTTCCCAGTTTCTCCTAGTGCTCCTTTGTTCTACTCTCCCTGGGTGGTGCAGCCCACTCTCTAGGTGCCTTCCATATAGAAGGCCTTGGTCCTTGAAATGACATCTCTCCTACATCATCAATTTTATTTCCTCTACTGTTCTCCTGTCCACCCTTCCATGGACACACACCTGCTGAGGTAAATAATGACCTCTGCCTTTCCAGATCCAATGATCAGTTCCCAGGCCTCACCATTTGAGGCAGTAGTACATCATTCTTTCCTTTCCATCATGGAAACAATTTGTTCTTACCCCTCATTTCTCACTTGGACTTGGCATACACAGGTTTGGTTGGTGGGCCTCCGTGGGCCCCACTTTTTCTCCACCCATCACATTGTATTGTGATGACCTGTTCCTTTCCTGTCCACCCCACAGATGCTTCATTCTGGGAATCAGTGGGAGTGTCCAGGTACTCACTCTCACTTATTCACCCTTAGCACCAAGCTCAGTGACTGACAAGTATGAGATTTTCAACAAATATTTGTGTGAGAATAAACAAATAAAGAACAAGTGAGTGAATGAGGGAGACAGAAATGATCACAGACAAGGCTTGACTGAAAGAAATAAAGCAGATGTTGCAAGGAGTCCTTTGGGACACAGAAAAGCAGGCTTTGCCACTGGAAATGTGATGGGTTGATTCATCATGCCTGACTAAAAGAATAATTACACATTACTAGGAGGGGATAAAGAGTGGTATTTGCATTGTATCTTTTTATCCAAGGAGCAATCTAATAAAGTTTTTAATTGCTGATATCTAGAGTAGTGAAGAGTGCAAGGGCCAGGAATAAGCAGGAGTGCCTGACTTGGCTTCAGAATGGCCCATGTGGATTGTATCACACAATAAAAGAAGAGGCAGTGAAATTGATTAGTATATTTTTAAGAGATAAATCAGCCATCCTGTAGCTTTTTAATACAAAACATGCATGACTGACTCTATTATGCTTTGACATAGGCCATGCTTAAATTAATAACATGACAGTTTTTTCATGCCGATACTTGTAAATCTAGTAAGAATGACCCAAGAGAAGTCTCAGAAGAATAAAGCAAGGGGGCCAATAAACATATGATAACATACTCAAACTCATTAGTATTCATGGAAACGTAAATATAAAGAAAAAAATCCCACTTTACATCAATCAAAAAAAAGATCTGAAGACACCAGATATTATTTAGGAGTAATAGAAATCTGTTCATTGTTGATGAAGATAAAAATGGCAAAGTGATATTTTAGAATAATACCATGTGTTTATAACACAAATCACTTTTTATAATATAAAACAAAATTCTATTTATTAATGATACATACATATTTTAAAAAGGCTAAATGAAAAGAATATAAACTATAAAACTGGACTACATATGGGAAGGGAGGGAGAGGAAAGAAATAACAGCTTAGGGCTCAAGCTGTATATGCAATGCTTTGTTTCCTTAAAAAAAAGCGAGACTTTTAAGTATGTGAAAAAATGTTAGCAGTATTAAAGTTGGTGATGGGTACATGAATGTTACTTATTTGTGTGTGTGAATTATTAATATTGTTTTTAAATTTATTATTAAAACAAACCTGAAATTAGTGCATGGAAAACCCAACTTGTGACAACTTGAATATGATCCAGAACTAGGCTTTCCTTGGAGAATGAAATCTAAGTTAATGGGAAAACTGATATTTGCCAATATTCAAGGCTTTACATGATTATACTGTGTATGTCTACCTTCTCTTTTTCAAAAAAGAAAAAAATTACTAAGCCACAGGAAGATGACTTTAATTGGGTAATTGAGGTTCAGATCTATAGTCTTGAAAATAATATCTCACTTACCAATGGTTTTCACTTGAACGACAGCTCTGACTGTCCATGAACTTTCATTATCCGACTGACTATAATCACATGTGTACATGCCCTGGTGAAAGTCATAAATTTCATTCAGTAACATCGGGTTGCTCTTTTTTTCATAGAGTAGTCTTCCATTCTAATCCAAGAGACATGAAAATCAAATACTTTCTTCAATCAGACAATTATCATTACTATTAATTGCACTTTTAAAAAAAACTTCACAAATTTTAATGATGAAAAGAAGAATGTCAGTCTGAGATGAGGACATAACAATCATACTACCAAATTATAAAAAGATTTTGTTCAAAATTTTATTTGTGACTTCTGGACAAGATGGAGGCATAGGTAGATATTCTTTGTCTCCTCACACAAACAAAAAAACAACAATAATAAATTTAAAAACAAAAAAATCAGAACTTCCAGAAAATTGAACTGTATGGAAGACTGACAACCAAGAAATTAAAAAAAAATGTTCACCCAGACTAGAAGGAGGGGTGGGGACAGACAGAGAGGGTGGAGAGGATGCATAGCAAGGAGGTGGCTAGTGGACCACATGAGTGAGATAGCAGCTGGCAGACCCTACAGTGTGACATTTGCGTGTGGATAAACCCGAGCAAACAACTGGAGGGTGAGACAGACCTCACAACCCAGGTTCTAGAGTGGGAAGAGCTTCAAAATCTCTGGCTATAAAAACCTATGGGGTTGCAGCATCAGGAGAAACTCCCAGCCTCACAGGAGAATTCACTGGAGAGACCCACAGGGTTCTAGAATGTATACAAACCTACCCACATGGGATTCCGCACCAGAAGGGCCCAGTTTTCTTGTGAGTACTGGGGGAAGTGACCAAAAGCTGGTGGAGAGCCAAGCAAGCGGCATTGTTCCATCTCTGATCCCACCACAACATACTACACCACAGCACAGCAATGTGAGCTGCCCCACCCTGGTGAATACCTAAGGCTTTGTCCCTTACTATATATAACAGGTACACCGAGACAAAGAAATATAGTCCAAATGAAAGAATAGATCCAAGCTCCAGAAAAACAACTAAGTGACCAGATAGCCAACCTATCAGATGCAGAATTCAAAACACTGTTAAGATGCTCACAGAAATTATTGAGTATGGTTGCAAAATAGAGGAAAAGGTGAAGACTATGCAAAGTAAAATAAAGAAAAACATACAAGGAACTAACAGTGAAGGGAAGTAAACTGGGACTCATATAAACAGTTTGGACCAGAAGGAAGAAATAAATATTCAAACAAAAGAGAATAAAGAAACAAGAATTCAGAAAAATGAGGAGAGGTTTGGGAACTTCCAGGACAACTTTAAACATTCCAACATCTGAATCATAGTGTGTCAGAAGGATAAGAGGAAGAGTGAGAAATTGAAAACTTATTTGAAAAAATAATGAAAGAAAATGTCCTCAATCTGGCAAAGAAAATGAACTTCCAGGAAGTTCAGGAAGCTCAGAGAGTCCCAGCGAAGTTGGACCCAAGGAACCAAATACCAAGACACATCATAATTACATTACCTGAGATTAAAAATAAGGAGATAATCTTAAAAGCAGCAAGAGAAAAGGAGATAGTTACCTACAAAGGAGTTCCCTAAGACTATCAGTTGAACCCTCAAAATAAATGTTACAGTCAAAAAGGGGCTGGAAAGAAGTATTCCAAGTCATGAAAGGCAAGGACCTACATCTAAGATTACTCTATTCAGCAAAGCTATCATTTAAAATGGAAGGGCAGATAAAGTGCTTCTCAGATAAGGTAAAATTAAAGGAGTTCATCATCACCATCTACTTATTATATGAAATGTTAAAGGATCTTATCTAAGAAAAAGAAGACCAAAACTATGAACAATAAAATGACAACAAACACAATAATCAACAAATGAATCTAAAAACAAAACGAAAACAAAAACAAACTAAGGAAAGAACTGGAACAGGAATAGAATCACAGAAATGGAAATCACTAGGAGGCTTGTGGGAGGAGGGGTGAGAATGGGGGAAAAAGGTACAGGGAATTAGAAACAAATGGTAGATACAAAATAGTCAGAGGAGATTAAGAATAGTATGGGAAATGGAGAAGGCAAAGAAATTATATATACAACCCATGGGCATTAACTAAAGGGCATAAATGTTAGTGGGAGGTGGGTACAGAGTAGAGGGGAATACAAGGGAAAAATGGGACAACTGTAATAACATAATAAAATATACTAAAAATTGTAAATTTTTTTCCTAAATTAAGCATTTTCAATATAATTAATTATGTGCAGATATCAGGGCACCAAATTTAATTAGCCCACCCCGCTCTAACTAATTTATTATTTTCCAAAGCATAACTCAAGCTCTGAGAATATTCTAAAAAACTCATCATTATCCGAGTAGCTAATACTTAATGAATTTTTTAAAAAATATGTGTTTATATGTCTGAAAATAGATGTAGTTCTTCTTTGTATGGGGCTAATATAAAGCTTCCTCTTTAAATAAATTTAACTTGAATAAAATAATGAAATATAAATTTAAAACATTAAGTAAATAATAGTTTTATATAAATATGACAAAGAATGACGGATGATTGAAAAATTATTTAATTCATAGTGGACTCAAAGTCTCGTGAGAATTGAAATAGATTATGAAAATTTCTTCCTCCCTTAGAACCTATCAGTGACTGTCTTTTGCCCTTAGGGATAAAGTCTAAAATTCTTTACAATCTGATCTTGCCATTGCTTCTCTGACTCATTTTCACTATTCCCCCCCTACCACTTACCATTTCTTAAATAACCATGTTATTTTTCAATCCATGCATTTGCACATGTCTCCCACCATTTTTCACAGTGAGTAGGCTGCTGCTCAATCTTCAACTCCCACTCAAGAGATAGCTCCCATGGAGCTAAGTTGTCAGGCATCACAGTATGCTTCCAGAGCAGTAAGCACACCTCCATCATGTGTGTACCCTTTGTTTAGTAATGATGTGTTTAGAGTTGAGGTATCTCCTTTGTAGTTGTTAAGAGTGTCTATGTTACAAGACATATACCTGGCCCTGAATGCACTGGGTGAAATAAACACCAATCCTTTCTCTCATTGAGCCCTCAGTCTAAGAATGCAGGCCCAGAGTAGTAAGCCAAAGTTTAATGCATGCCAGTGGCTTTAACTCAGTTCATATGAAACAGAAATACTCCCTCTGGTCCAATTAGAACTTTGAAGAATGTGTAGGAATCAGTCAATTCGAGGTAAGTGCCATTTTAAGAACATTAGAAGCAAAGCATGTATATAGGAAATAAAGCCAAGTTGAAAGGGCTGATGCATGTGGTTGTGTTTAATCTTTGGTCCCCAGTCTATGGTAGGCAGACCAGCAATAGGATGGTCTTTTTAAATGAAGACTGAGTATGCATGTATAGTTGAAAGAAAGGTTTTGAGGCATAAAAATTACATTATTAGACACTTTTTAAATGGTAACTAAGTGTTGAAGTTTTTAAAAATTTATTCAAAAACTATCATAATCACTTTTGTATCACTAGTGGCTGGGGCATAGTAGGGGCTCAGTAAATATTTGTTGAATGATTATTTTTATGCCAATAATCTTATAGCCCCTAGCCTCCATGTGGTACATGGCTTTCCAATTTCCCACTAACACCAGGAACATCTCTCTTACCACTGCAGTTAAAAGAAAAGAGACAACAGTAACAAAGAAATAACAAAAAAATAAGAGCCTATTATCCATATAGATTACAAAGTTTTTTCCCATGTTACTTCATGTGATTGTTCAAAGACTCGAACTCATTTTGCATAGAAGTTGCTTTCCATTTTATCGATAAAACACCTGAGTTTCTGCTGTTTGTGTTTTGCTCCATATTGCAAAACTAGTCAGTAAGAGAACTGAAAATTTATCTAAATTATTCTGATTTTGAGTTTCAGTTTCTGACTGAGGAATTTCCCTTCCACTTTGCTTGATGACTTGTTGAGTCAGGGATTCCCCCACTCTAAGTCTCCGGTGTGGTTCCTGTGGCTCAAGAAAGAATTTCCAGTAGATTGGCAGGCAGCAGTCTAAAGAAAGGGGTAGGGGACAGTGGGCAGAACTGATTGGAGGAGGACCTCCAGGTGTGAAGTTAATCAAGGCCAAGTGGTGGGACAGACAAGGTTAAACAATCTATCAGCTGATATTGAGGATCAAGAACCTTTTAAAAGGAATATTCAGAGCATGAAGTAAAATTCAGAGACAAAATTCTACGGTACACAGTAATAATACACAAAGAACAGAACTGGAGTGGAGGTGTGTCATAAATCTCATGAGAAAGTAATAGAAAGAAGATGCTTATTTATAACTAAGACTTCAGCTGAACCACAGGGAAGATGGGTAAAACAAAATAGACCTGATTTTTTCCATAAAAAAATTAGTACAGCTCAATGTGTACCATTAAGATTTTATGAGCTAGAATTAAAAGGAAGCACAAAAAAAAAGAGAGATAAGAAGTAAGCAATTTGTCTTCAGAATGATGGAAAACCCATTCTAATAATACAACCACACATTATTCTAGTAGCAAACAGAGGGGCTAATGGGACTGCAAAGGGGATTCTTTGTTATGTTCAGATGTAAAGAAGAAGGAGGAGGAGGAGAGGGAGAGGAGAAGCCATATACAAATAAGGAGGAACACCTCAATTTGAACCTGTATGAACAGTGTCAGTAAGTCCTAGAAAGAACTGAGGCATGAAAAAAAAAAAGCTAAGGACACTAAAACAATGTTTAAAGGTGTGTGTGAAACAAGGAGAAGAACAAAACAAAGAAAGCTCACTCTGCTAGGAACATTTATTATAATATTTTCTCTAATATCACAAATCCACTGCACTACTGGGCAATACTGCCACTCCAGGGAGCGTGATGCCCTTTGTGTTACTTTCTGCAAATGGTGCTCCCTAGAACTGGGCAACATAGGGAAGTCCTGCCTGGGCTTTTACTACCTAGTTTAGGAGGACTCTCAGTATTTATATCTTGAGTTGTATGTCCCCTGATGGACTTGATGGCTTCATATCTGTTTTAATGACTTGTTGTGTCCAGGTCTGCTTATGCCAC